TAATCAGCATATGTACAAAATGAGTTCTCTTGCAATTATTACTGCAATAAGCTCATATTAGCTGAGTTATTGTTCCAGCTCATCTTCAAAATACTGTTCCAGCTTCTATCATACAATCATATTCATGGTGCTCGACCCCCTCCTTGCCTCATGTCATACCGATCATCACGTACCACACTGGAGTGTATTCACAGCTTAGGTTGTGCAGCCGTTCTAAATAATCCCCCTCTAACGCCAACAACTCTAAGGATCATACCCCCTTCCCTCATCAGTGTGTGCACACCATTTCATGTACATACTGTATCTGTTTTCAGGTTTACTAGAAGACTTCTGTAGTTTTGTTCTCAATCAAAAATCTTATTTGTATGTGGTCAAATTTGTCCACCTCAGTCACTCGTTTTTGTTGTTGCTATATTATAATACACCCTGTTTCACTCCAGTTGAAATTACTGCAATGGGAGTTTCTTCCCACTTTTATACCTCTTTTTGTTGTGGGTTTCTGATTTTTGGGATTACAGAGAAATGGGAAATTGTAAATTGTGACATTATTTATACTGTACATGGTTGTTTTCTTATATATTTATTGCATTTCAGTGGGTGCTTCACTCGATAAGGGGCTACAAGGTATTCTAAAAGTGTAGTATGATCACAGTGTGTGGATAGGGGAAGTGCAATCAGGGGGGTGGTTTGATTTTCATGGTGCTAGACCCCCTCCTTGCCTCAATGCCCCCTCATTAAACAGCGTATAATGATGTATGAACATAGGTTACTGATACAGCTCAAACCAACCAGTTGGTGCTTAGAACCATTTCAACAGAAACGGAAATGGAATGATGTCTTCGTACTGTATAACACAGATAAATAAAAGATCTTTTTTAACTTTATTTCCATTGTATGAAATTCATAATCTTGTGAAGCATTAGTGGTTTTATGATGAGCATTAGTCGTAGTTGTACTTCTTGACTCTTTTGCAGAGACTTTTAGGGATGTGACATTTTAATGGCGTCGGGGGGTTTTGTTTTTTTCCGTGTCTTGTCCTCATTATTAATATTATTTGAAGGATGTGATGATGCTCTCTTTTTTTTCCCTGTTGACTTTGTTTGATTTATGCTGCACTTATTGTTTTCAAAAAGAACTCACATAGAAGAAATCCTGAGCCAGACCTGTCTTAAATTGTATTGTTGTTGAAGAAAATAAAATGTTTTGATAAATTATTCAACAATGAGTCTTTGCCGCTGAATTCCTCTGTACCGTCTCACTGGTTTCTCTTCTCTTTGTGGAGAGTGCGAGATTTGACTGAGTTCACCGCAGGTATCCAGGCCTGCTCTCCCTTTGTGTGTCCAGTATGATATATATAAATATAATATAAGGGCTGCAGTAGCCGAGGAAGGAGAGCTGATCTGACTTTTTTCTCAGAACATGGGTTGGGTCCAACATTTTCTCTATTTCACAGTTCGATTTGAAAACCTTTGCTGCATGATTTTGACACAAATTTCCATATTGCTTCTCAAACAAGACAAAAACATAGGGTGTTCTGAAAAAGCAAAATTTAGCCCCATCAGCTACTTGATATGCATCAAACTAGATTTCACCTGAGTTGAACAACAATACAAATATTTCCATGATAAGTAAACTTCAATAGTCATTTTCATGCTCCACACCCTGATGAAGGCATAAGCCGATACAAGTTGGTGTGTTTTAATGCTTCAAGCCCATTGAAATAAAGGCAATTTTTCAAACCACTTTAAGTGCCTGGACCTGGATTCTTCATGCTATTACTTTGGACAGAGGTTTTCCTCTAATCTTTTGACATGTATTCCCTTCCATGAGCACCAGGGGTTTGAGGGACACCAGTAGCACTCCTGCCACCTCTCACTAGTCTTTTTCATGTTGTTATTAACTGTTGAGGTAACAGAATCTGTGTATAGGTCCATTCATTGTATATAGGTAACTCTATCTATCTTTATATCTGTCTGTCTGTGTTCACTTCATTTCTATCTATAAGGACTGTCTGCAACCACAAGATGGTGCTACATCTCCGACTGTCCAAATTCTAAGAAGCTGTTTCCTTTCAAGGTGGGACAAAAAATTACCAGAAGCATGTAGAGATTAAAGATATAAGAAGGAAGCGTGTGAGAAACCTGCTTTATCGCCTATGATTTCATCTTTACCAATTCAACACCACCAACCATGTCGTCACAGTGTCAGGAGATTTCAGGGCAGGCCTAGATTGTCAAAGCTGAGCAGAGTGTTTGACCCGCTGTCAGAGGACAAGGAGAAAACAACTGATGGGTTTTGTTGCTTCATCAGGACTGAAAAACTGTCACTCAAAATGGCACCATCTACCAAAAGCATCTAAGAATACCCATAATACCGTCTGGGTTGTGACACATTATAAACTATAGATGAAGTTGAAGCTGTTTAAGTAAAATAAGGCTTGTCTCTCCGGATCCTACGTGCAGAGGGTTGTGGGAGACATTTCTGTCTCAGTCCCAGGTTAAACTTACATAAATCTCCACTCTGAATCCTCCAGACGTCTGTTAGCACTTTGTGCTCACACCAGCATTTTTTAAACTTTCGCTGCATAAGAAGGGAGGCTTTCAGTTATTCATGCAATACTTTCAAAACAGATTCATTAATCATGAAGTCCCACCAGGAGATCTGGAACTTATCAAACCTGTTCTGCAGACTTACTTCATTATTGACAGCAAGCAGCTCCACAGCAGCAAGTGAGATCTGTGCCTGAAACATCCAACCAATGGTTTGCAAGGTAGCTGAAAGTGTTTCTGATCTTGAAGTCAGTTTTCTTATCTGTCAAAAGTCACTGCTGCACACGGAGGATCCTTAGAGTGATGTGGCCCTGCACCCCTCTCACCTCCAAACCTCAACCATTCCTATCTTCTCTTCTATGAGCAGCTCCGAGAGGAGGTTGCCTGGCAACACAGCCAAGGTGTCCAGGAAACTGACGAAGCCAGCCATGCATTACTTTTATCATCACTGCCATAACTGAGCAGACAGCCCTCTCTGTCCTGGAGGGAAATGCTGTTGATGAACTTGCGGTTGATAAAAATATATGTGAGGAGATCTGGATGGAAACAATGGGGACGAAGGGGGAGGGGTGGGCATGAGAGGCAAGGAGAGCAGGGTTGAAGCGGGTGATTTGTAAACAGGAACTGTCCTGACAGAAGTGCACAGACCAAGCAACCAGCTGTGACATCACCCATTGAAATGTTGAGTCCTTTTCCAACTCAGGCCTCTGGATTGTATATCTACGCTGCCGCCATATTGCACCAGGCAACACAGGCCTGGAAATAAATACAAGCTGCAGTGTGTCTATATAAAAAGCCCTTTAACTGTTACATGTCCCAACTAACCAGGCCCTGAATGAACCCTGATCATTGTGTGCTGCCTAGACCCATGCTAACCATGTCGGTAACTAGTTTACACAACATTGATTCAGCCTAAGTAAAGCTGTTATTTTGTTGACGTGCTCTGTTACATGCAACAGCTATTGTACTATTGTACGTCCTCGGAGAGGGATCTCTCACTTCCAACTCCTCCCTGAGGTTCCTGTTCTTATCCCCTGTTTAAAGGGTTGGTATTTTATCTTCACTCTAGTCGAGGGTTAAAGACAGAATATGGGCTGTAAATAGCATCTGATTGGTTGATTGATTGATTCTGATTGATTTATAAAAAGGGAAGAGATGTATGGCAAGAGTTCATGAAAAAAACCTCCATGCCTCCAAAACAAGGTTCGTTTTTTTCTTCTTCAACATTAGCAGCAGTAATGGTTGAAATCATGTGTTGTCTTTCTGGTGGAGGGAGAGTCCAGCTGAGAATATGCAGTATGAGTGTCATCACATTGGCATGTTTCTGATTGGAGTTAGAAGACTTTATTGAAACTGACTCCTGTCTCTCCGCTAGGTGACAGACCTGACTCACATCCTTCCTGTCTGTGTCCATTCATGCCACAGGTGATTTCCTTTAGTTCGACCATGTTTGCCAGCTGCACGTTGGTTCCTGTAACTCATGATCGAAGGGTGGCTTTACTGAACCAGTTTGATTTCGATGCTTCTTACTGTAATTTTCCGACCAACGTTCCTCAGAAAGCATCTGTGAAAGAAGCAGCAGCTCAAAGAAGTTCAAGAAGAAGGTCACAATAATAATTAGAATCATAATAAACTTTATTTATGTAACTATTTAATAAATAGTTACAAACAAACAATCAGAGAAAAATCTTAAGCTATTGGAAGATCACACGACAAAAGAGTACAAAGACTAAAAAAGTTTATAGATGAAAAAATAGTAAAAAATAAAGATAAAATAAAACATTATAAAATGTTTAAAATAGACGGTAAGATCAGAACTATAGGAGAAAGCTCACAGATAGATATGTGTCTTTAGGAGAGATTTAAAGGAGATTTAGGAGTTTCCCAGACTAGATCCTTTGAGTGCAGTGACGGAGATGGAACACTGTGACACTGATCCTTCATATACTATCAATCATAAAAACCAGGTTATGCTCTGAGAATGGAAGTAGACTTATATCAAAGAATCTTCACGTCAGGCACGCCACATCTCTTCCCAGCTTTTACACTCGCCATTTATTTCAGTCTCTGGGGTTACAGGACATGAGATTCCTAAAAGTGGAGACGGAGGGACATCTCATCGCAGCGTGAGTTTGGACACAGCAGCGGATATCCTGGTTCCAAGGACAGGAAGAGTGCTCTTCCTCTACCACCCCCTCAGACACTGACATACACATACAAACAACACACTCTGTGGCATTGTTAAGGGCAAAATCACTGCTCCTACTTTTTTTTTTTTACCTTGAATGCTAACAAGCCACAGGCTCTTGTTCCTCATACCAAATCTTCAAATGCCCTGCTTCTCCCCAGGGAGCGTATATATCTACCCCTGAGTGAAAATAAATAAACACAGATGCCCAGAGTGAGATGAGAAAAACTTCATATCGAAATACTAATTTCACCCTTTGAACTGAGCCCCACTGGTTTCTTATCAGTCCCATGATAGCCTCTTTCCCGCGCCAAATGAGTCCATGTTCTCCCCCATCCTCATTTCCTTATGTTTTCTGACAGCAGAGCTCTGTTTTTCATCAAAAGGTCAAGGGCCAGCGCCATGTCATTCCTGCTTCTAAAGCCAATCTCCAGCTGCTCCGGCTTGCCCTTTACCTTTTTTATTATTACTTCACAGCGCTATGATTCTGCTGAGTGGCCGAGTCATGCTGTCTCATTGGTCAGCATCAGCAGTGTAGAGTGGTGATGGACAGATAGATTCTAAAAAATGCTACAAAAATGTGCAAATTTACAAAAACATTTTCAATGAACAATAAGAAACTGTTTCCGCCCTCTTTTTTTATTTTTATCTCCTTTAAATTTATGTGATATATCATTTTTTGACATAACATTACATATTATGTATCATTTAGCTGATATTTTTATCCAAATTGACTTACGATAAAATAAAGATTTTTTTTTTAATGTAACCACACATAATGTATGTTTTATTTGTTCTAATATTTATTTGTCTACATTTAACTCTAAAGTAATTTTAGCTGGTTATCACTTATCTGCAATGTTTATAAGTTTTTGAATAAAGTTGTCTGGCATGGTCGGAGTTAAGGTAGTTTTCTATTTCTTTTTTTAAAATAAAATCTTGAAAGTCAATAAAAAAAAGCAGCTCAGCGTGTTTTGAATCAGCGGAGAAAGTTCTCAGTGAGGGTGTAAAGTTTTGCAGAGTGGGCAGCAGCGTACCCTGCCTCCTCTAATCTGTCCAAATAAACACTCTTCCTCCCTCCCCCTGGTTCCAGGGGGTTATCACACAAACCCCTCCACTACTCCCCTGCCCACCAGAAGCAGCAGTCTTTAACACAGCCCAGCCAGCTCTCTGTGCATTCATATTAGAGGCAACACAGGATACACACTCACACACACACACTCACTTAATCATATCTCAAACTGGAGTCAGAGTGAGGAAACAGAATGTCAGGAAAGGAAGCTCTGAAGCCAGTGGGAAAGCAGAGTTTGCCTCACGTCTGTGGAGCTCCTTTCTGAAGAGTGGAAGATTAAATTCACAACAGCGGGCAAATATCTGAAGATTTTTTTTGTTTGCCTTTTTGGAAAAAGACCAGAAAACTAAAAAAGTGGTAAGTATAAGAATCTCAACTTTTACTTGGATACCACCCTCAAGATCTGGAGAAGACGTACATCAGGAGGAAATTCTTGAAATTCTCTTTGTCTCCGACCACTCACCGCTCCTCAGGTCTCTGAGTCCCATCATCATCGAACTGCAGGAGGACACATCCTCAGGTTTATACCACACAGTGAGTGTAATCAGTGTATTTATCTTTTATTCATTGACTGTGTTGAAGAAGGCCAATCCTGACCTTGTTGAAGTGGCTAATCTACTTGAATGAATTCGGGTATACTTCTCATCCAGAAAAATCACATTTCTGTGTTTGTGGATATTTGTGAATTTTGATGAGGTTGATTTAAACTGGAAACATCAATTGATGATGTCACCAAAAGGCAAATGTTAAAGCTCCAGGCTGGAGGCTGACACACGCTCATAAACAGAGCCCCTTCAGGAATGCAAGAAGACGCCAGTAAGAGTAGAGAACTTTTTGAATTTTTTTCCCCCTATGCATGACTTCATGCAACAGCGAGCTGATGATGGAAGGGGGCGGTACACATTTAGGTGATTTGCATATAATGTCATGGACAGGACAAATATGAAAGAAACATGTGTTCACATGGTTTAACACAGAAGCTTCTCACAGATCTGAATACAGTGGGAAATAGAAGAATGTGTCGTTTTCTCATCACAAGGAGAATTTCAGTTAAGTAAAGAGTTAAAATTAACTAGAAGTGAATATAAAAAAACTGTAGCACAGCATTCATTCTCTCACAGTCACAACATCGTTCTGACACTCACATCAGTGATTACTGATTTGACTTCTCAGAGTTTTCCAGCTGCTGTGGACTCATTGTTCTGGGTGGTGGGTATCCTGCAGTTGGGAGGTGGGGTCTGTGGAGCCCATTTCCTCCCACTTAAAGCTGTGCAGTTATCTGTGTTGACTTTCCACGCCTTTCACCACATTATTCAACAAGGCCATTACTCAGTGGACAAACAGTTTTTCATGCTTTTACTGGGTTGACACAATAAATCCGGACATGGAGGGAGGAATTAAGAGCAACAGAAAACAATTTAACATTTTATGTTACTTTAAATATTTTAAATATTGCTATGATGAAAACATGTTATATCCATATTGTGAAACAGAGATTTTCTTTATGCAGTTTTCCCCCAAAAGTCAAGTTTTTTTTCTGATAGCCAGGTTCAAATTCATCCACTATAATCAAGATTATTAACCGTTTTGTGTTTTTTCCTGCAGATAAGACCACTAAGAAGATGAGTCTGTCACAGAACGGGACGCTGGAGAAGACAATGTCTGAGCAGGCCCCCTCTGAGCCACGCTCCCCCTCCAGAGTGGGTTCAGGGGTCGTGGTGCCGCCTCCGTACTCACTGGGCTGCAGCGAGGCCGCTGAATCCCCCCTGGAGCTGAGAGGCTCTCTGGACTGCTGGGCCTGCTCTGTGCTGGTCACTGCCCAGAACCTCATCATCGCGCTGATCAATGGTGTGCTGGCTGCCATCGTGTTCGGCACCATCCTCACCCCTGCTCTGACTATGGTCATATTTGGTTTTCTCTGCCACTCCACGGTAATGGTCTCTCATGGAAATTTCTTGCAGATTGAAAAGCAGTAGTTTATGAACAAATTGTCTTTAAAATGAACATGCTAGAAATGGTTTGAAACAGGAAATGACATAGACTGTCAATCAGACTGTGAATGAACTGCACAAGGAGAAAGGAAAATGTTTTTCCAGAGATTTGATGCTGTTTTTCCTAAATTTTTCTGGATCTTCCTGGAGCTTAACTCTAATTTCTTGCAGCTGTCACTAAGCTGCTCCACTTCCTTAGTGTAGTGCATTGTGGGACCATAACATAAACCATAGAGTGATTTTCTAATCCACTTGATAATGATTCAGTTTTCCAGTGTGACCACACTAAATCAACAATTCTCCCAAGAATTAGTATGAAATATGGAACTAGGGCACAAGTTGGGAGCTTTTCTGAAATTACCACAACACTAAACCCCATTATCTAAATAAAACTCTCAACTGGGCCCAGCATGACACGCACAGGCCCCAAAGGTTAAACACAACCAACACCCTGTTCTCATCTTTAACACACAACCACTGAACATTTAACACAAACACGTCCAGTCACGTTACTTTAGGGACCATACAACACTAAATGTGATCGATCAATACGACATGACCAGAGGTCGCGAACAGACAGAGCAACATGGTCATGTTGTCATTTCTGAGACTCATCTTTCACTCTGATCAAAGAATATGTGAATGGTTTATCAATATCCAGCGTTTTCTCAATGTTTGCCTTCCACCATACTCTCCATTCCTGACCCCTATAGAATCATTTTTCCCAGCTTGGCGGCGGAAAGTGTGTGACCGAACCCCTGATAGCCAAGAAAATCTCCTGTGAATGAGTGTAATGATGTAGGAGAGGAATCTATTCAAGTCTAGATTCAGCACGAAAAAAGGATTCTCCTATTGTTCAGCACTGGGGAGGATTGCCTGTGATGTAGATGAAGTCTTGCATCAATGAGCAAATATCCTATAGTAAATATATTTGGTAAAGATAATTTTTCCTGCTATGCCCAGAGTGCAGTGTTTTGCATTTATATATGTAGTGTGTGATGATTGCTGGGTAGTGTTTCTGTATTAGCGTGTTATGTGATAACAGTGTTTGGTTTTGGGTAAAGATACAATAATTTGGTATCAAATGTTTGACTTTGAAGTTAAATGTTTTGTGAGCTTAGCTTGAATTTTGGGGTTTGCGTTTACTGTTTTGAGAAAAGGAGAGGAAGTTTCAGGAAATGGGTTTCAGAAAAACTGTAGGTCCTGTGACCTGTGACCTGTACACTCCTTTATTATTAATATCCATGGCATTATGCATCCATTTTCTTCCCCCAGGTGCAGCCCCATGGAACATCCCTGTACTGCTCAGACGTGCTGGATGACGGCGGCTGCGTGGCCTTGCTGGTTGTGGGTTTCCTGCTGCTCACCCCTCTGCTGGTCCTGGCTCTGGCGGCCTACTGTCGCCTGGCCCGACACCTCCAGCTGGGCATGTGTTTCATCCCCTACAGCCGCGCCGTCTACAAGAACCTACCCTTGTCACGCCACCAGAGGTCTGATGGGGGAGGCTGCTGTGGTCAGCAGGGAGCTTCAGAGAGGGAGGGGAAGGGCAGCATATGGGTGTAGGAGAGGGGATGAAAGGAGAGGAGAGGAGAGGAGAGTAAAGGGGAGGAAGAATGTCTAAATGATTGTAAGATGTATCCATTGAGTCATTTTGTTTGTTTAGTTATTTTTTGTAAGGAGTTGGAGTTCAATATTGCCTTTGTATACTATTCCACTTGTATTTTTTTATACTTTTTAAAAACAGTGTTGTTTGACCAACAGGCTGAATTTTGTGTTTTTCCTGCAGAACTCTGCGCTGAACACGGTGGAAATTAGCCAGTTTCATTTAAGAGAAACAGTGAAGTTTTAAATACATCAATATAAAGTGCACTGAACAGATTTAATAGACAAAATATGTATGTGTGTACATATGGTTAGCATCATTATTGCAAGTCTGTGAATATTTTGTGATTACAGCTTCTGTGGTAATCACATCATTTAATGGGACATTTCTCCAGGTGTCCAACATGTTGCTTATTCTCATTAAAGCATAAACATTCAAACAAGTGACAATACTGTCAGTGTTCAAGACTCAGGTAGATATACTGTGGTACATCTGTCATGTCAGCATGTCATATCGCTATGAAATATTTATTCAGTCTGTATCCTATTGTATTTACATTGAATAGGTAACTTCATCTATATTTAGAGTAGATATAGTAAATCATAACTTTGTTGGTTATATTTGTATTACTAATTCGGTTCTTAATGGTCATAGTTTGATTTAGATTTATACATTTTCGACCACTTTATAACTGGTTTGGGTTTAGCTATTCATTTATTCTGCAAAAATTGTGTTTCTGCCTTATAAAAAGTTATTTAAAAGTCATTATACATTCCAGGTCAAACCATAATAACTGCCTCTGGAGGGGAACGTGACTCAGGAGCTTGAATTTATTTTGACCTTTACCTACCTCTACTGGTGATTATTAGGAATTACATCTAAATCTCTTTGACCCTAAAACACATTAACTCAGAGGGTACATTTTAAATCTTAATTTATTTTTAGCAAAAGTATTTCAAATGAGATATCAATAATATCTAAATTCTAACAGGAATTATATTTTCCAAGCAGTGTCTTTAAATAACATTTAATTATAAACTTTATTTATTATTTTGTTTTGTTATAAGTCACACCATGTCCTATATTTGATCAGATATAGAAAAGCAGCAAATATGTCACGTTAACCTTGGTACTTGTTCTGGAGATACACATATAGTGTATCACTGGTAATGTTATATTCTGTAATAATATTGACAAGTGAATAAACATTACAAATGTTTGTCACTTATCTGTTTATCCAGGTAAGTGTTCAGATAAAATGGAAAACATATCCAATTCATGATGAAATTTGAAAGATGACAATTGAGATAATCTGCCAGTGCTGCACAAAGTAGAATGTAATCTTTGTAACTTGCTCAAGTAGTTATTCATTATTCAGTTTGGACTCATTTATTTATTTACTTGTTATTACTTTTCAAAATGGCTCAGAGGTGATCTGGTCATGGCAGAAACCAAAACTACCATAGTACTCCACTTTGTTTTAAATGCAAACCAATAACACTGTCAGAATTAGGCTTTTTTAATCATGAGCTCATTTTATTCAATGTTTTGATCTGGATATAACTCTTGACATCATAGACCAGAGGACGAATGGTCACAAGGTTTTAAATCGAGACTTTGATGCTATTACACTTTTAATCCACTAGATGGAGACCGAGACATGGTGCTAACCGTTGAAGTGAGAGAATTAAAGGTGAAGAAGTGTAAATGATTCTTTAGTCAAACCACGGGAAAGAGATATAAAACCTTTATTCATGTATAAATTACAAACACAAGGTTTGGTAGGTGTTCGAATAAAACAATGTTTTTGCATAAAGTGTTGGATACAAATTTTATGTTTCATTGCAGTGTTGTGCTTCTATAGATCTGTATTTCACATTGAATATTCTGGATGTGTGTGTGTGATATGTTGTCATAAATGTCATGGACGGGTGTGTGAGGTTAACAGGGCTGGTTGTTGATATTCATCAATAGTTTGTGATGTGGGGCTTTGTAGGGAGCTGTGAATGCACCAGGTGCCAGGGTGCCATGTCCGTCTTCATTCACTTGACCCATGATGATGAAGTTGAGACCTATCGGAAAGAAAAAGTGAAAAGAAGTGAGTTTGATCAGTGTTACATTATTGATCTATCAGGTGTGTTTGTTTCCGGGAAGCACGCACCTCTCCGGAGCAACGGGCATTTCTTGCACTGTGACACCAGGTTAACCGACATGGTTTCTCCCACTTGCGTGATGGTTAGCCGACCTGCCTTGTAGGCCTTAATAATGGACACGTTAACGCGAAGAGTTCCACGAGGCCCAGGGGCCAGCGAGGTCACCTTCCCTGTAATCACTGGATAAAGGAGGGCTCAGTCAGAACACAGCATCTGAATGGTTAATTGCTGTGCATATGAACAGTAGGATGATTACCAAATTCACTGGCACAGAAGCTTGTCTTGATGGTTCCATCTCTTTTACAGGCTTTGGCACAAAGTGGGTTTTGAGGCACTAGAAAAACAAAGAAGACACAAAAAGTGAATTAGATGCAGACACCTTCCATTCAGGGAAGCAACTACGTTCACATGACTTCACTCACCAGGCCTCTTTCCGTCCGGCCTTGGAACTGGCACCCTCCTGTCCTGGCCTGTGCTGTCCTGTCCGCGACCTCTTGTAGGCTTAACCGGTCTTGGTTTCTCCGCGGGCTCTGGAGGAGGAGGTGGCACATACTTGGCGGTAGGGGCAGGTGGCGGCAAGGTAGTGGCTGGACGTTCATGTGCAGGTTTCACTGCAGGTTTTACCACAGGTTTCAGAGGGATTGACCTCGTACCAGCTCCAGAGTCGACTGGTGGGATGGTAGAGCCACGAGGGACACTGGTGTATTGGGCGAGGAATCCATCAAATGTCACGCTAAGGTCGGACACGAACTGGACCAGCAGCTCGTTGCCATTGGTGATAATTGGTCTGCACAGGAAACAGGAAATGGACATGGTGTAAATAGTGGATAGTTGGACTAAAATGGTCAACAAAGAGCTTTAAAAATGATTGTTACTCACCGCGGGGTCTGATCACCACAGTATTTTGCAATCAGGTGTGAATCATCTTTCTCTCCACCATTGTAGAAAGCCACGTAATCAAACCGACAATAGGTGTCAGGCTCCAGGATGAATTTATTAAACTTCACCTGGATTACCTAAACAAGTACAGAAATGGGACTTTTTTAATGTTCACTTGAAGAGTCGTCCTTGTAAAGGCTTTGGAAAATCAAATGTTTCCCTGCTGGGAGTGAGTGTGCAGCTGACCATATCAGGCTCCACCACGATAAGCCAGGAGCAGCTGGTTCCTGGTGGGTATTTCTTGTCAGGCCAGTTGGGTGTCATGATCTCTCCCTGGGCTTTTGTTATCTTCCCCCCACAGATCAGTTGATCTGAAACAAGTTGCACATGAGCAAAATGAATGACGATAAGAATAAATCGTAAACTTTGAAATGCTTTGAACTTTTGGTTCTCCATTGTTTATACATCAATCACACATAATCTGGAAGTTCATTTTCCTCTCTACACAAGATGTGTGATCTGGGAGACTTGGAATTTCTGTGTATTGCAAACATTCCAGGAGTGTTTAAAAAGGTTTAATAATTTCAATAAATTAGTTATAGTAGGAGTTAATAAATACTCATATTTACAGATTATCTAGTATTAATAAGAACATTTATGTCATTTAGAATCATAATATTAGAATCGTAAATGTTACATTCAACAATCAACATTAATAAAGGCTTTGTGGGTTGAAAATAAATGTGAATTTATTCACATCCAGATGTTCTGCAGTCTTTTTTATTCACATCCTATCATCCAATTGGCTTGTAACAGAAAGAAGAAGCTTTTAGTAAATGACTTAATAAAGAAATCGTTCAAAATTCTTCTGAAATATTGAGGATTTGCAAAAATGTTGAACTATTAGTTTAACCATCTAAAGCCTAGGAGTTAAAAACTTCATGGAGGGTGCCTAATTAAAAACAACGATAACATTTTCTTAAAAGCTTGGTCAAGAACACAGGAACAACTGTTCTATTGGTCTTTATTTAGGCTGCATTTACATATATATGAAGAATTTTGTTTTGAGCATGAAACTGTAATTATTTCATTAAGTAAATGAATAAATATATATGCACAGTCTAAATATGTGAGTTGGTTTTACTTCTTTTTTTAAACTTTTAGAAGCAATATTATACAATTCATGTGTGAGGTTTATAATATAAATATTTACAAGACAAATAGGACATTTTTGCTCTAAAATGTGACCACGTACCATCCACATATGGTTTGGTTCCACTGAAATAGGCCACAAACCCTCGACCCTGCGTCTCCCCATCAGACACCATGTCCAGCATCATGGTGTTTGTGGTAGAAATTAGAGAACCGGGCCGGAAAGTTCCACAGAAACGACCCAGTTTTTGCACCAAGTTGGAATGGCCATTGTAAACATCCAGATAGTCATAACGACATTGTGAGTCGGTCTCCAGGTCAAAAATGCGGAAGGAGAGCGTGATCACATTTCCCTCGGGAACCTGGAAACCAGAGTGTACATGAGTCAGACACTGGGAGACGGAGTGAGGGGGCGTCAGGATTTCAATATGCTGCAGTTGAACTGACTCACAGTGATTTTCCAGGTGCATTTGCTGTTTGGTTTGTAGAAGCTTGGGAAGCCCTCACTGCCAACAAACCCTGAGTCTGCCACCAGGTCCCCTCCACAGTAAAAGATAGGCCTGAGGGAGACAGGGAGACTATGATGGACAGAACTTAGGACAGTCAACAGAACTGCATCCACACAAGTCCACAAGACCCCTCAATTTTCTCTTGGACAACTTTCTTAAGGAGAGCATGTCTTTTAATTCATAGCACTTTCACCCTGAAATACCGCCAACTTGCAGCCTTTCACTATTTATTTTTAAAATGATACCCATATTTTTTATTTTTCCTGCCTTTTCTGATCATGTATGCTTACAATGTTAAAATACAACATTGAACATCTTATTTTCAAAATGGCACTGATTTTCATATCAATGGCTAATTAGCTAGTTGTGAGTTTGTTTTATTATCTTTAATAAGCATTAACGTTAGCTTCCTGTTTTGATTAATCAATATTTTGGTTCTAAAGAACACATAATTCTATAAAAAGCAAAAAGACAGCTTGTCTCTATCGTCGCTCTACTCAACAGGAGTTGAACACTGTGTATTCACTTTGATACTGAGTAATTAATTAAGCTGGGTTTGTTGTGGTATGTGCAGAATAAGGATTTAAACCAGAGTAGATACTGTGTCAATGTGCTGTGTGTATTTACAGCAGCAGCCTCTAGCTGGTTTAGTCAGTATTGCTTGATCCAACAGGAGCTAACAAGGCTAAATTAGTTTTTTATGCCTGTTGTGTGTTTACCTGAAATGAGCATACAGCCATGAAAGGTATCACTTTGAAACAAGATGAAATTAAATAGTCATGGGAAAAATTTCATTTAGAAATAAAAACATACTTTTCAAAAAGATAATTTTGACACAACAAAAATAGAATTTTTGTAAATTGCTGTCCTCTGTTAGTTCACAGATTTTAGATTAATTTACATGCAATGTTTAACATAAGTGATTGATTTGATTATCTCTTTAATTCATGTCCTTTTTATTTATTCCACATTATAAACTCCAGGGTTCTTCAGCTATGAATTGACTATTGCATTTCAGCTGATATGATACTTATACCTTGTTTGGTTTATGATTTATTTTGGGATTATAATTGCATTTAAGGAAAAAAGGTGGACCTATGGGGTTTTGGAACAGTTAGGCTCCCCAGAGTTGAAAAGAAATTGTGGGAGTATGATGATGATGATGATGATGATGATGATGATGATGCTGTAGTAGTGGATACCAAAGTGGTCCCTCTATAAATGGGCCTGGGGCGTCACAAAATGTGTTCATTCCTTCTTTTTGTTGTACACTATGATAATGTTTTTACCATGTTCAAATCCTCATATTGAAAACAAATACAAATTCTTAATTAAATGTGAAGTTATGCCACAACTCACAACTAATGCTTGTCATCCTAATGAGTGTGCCATGACCATAAAACTCACGTTATGGTGTTTGAACAATAAGCTTTAGAACCGTAAAAATGAAGAATAATGTACAGGAACTCGCTGGACCTCATTTTACAGACTTTCCTAACCTCAAGGTTATTGCGCCACTTTTTGTTATACATTCTTTTGCCTCCTAAAGTCACAAATCTCACTTAATATCAACAGTTATTTTACAGAAAGAACATTTCCTAGTTCAGTCTCTTGCCAACAGGGATTATTAAGACCCGAGAAGAAGAGAATGTTTTTTACAGTCTGTGGTGTGGGGAGTTGTTTTTGGATCAAATGTGCAAATTTTGCTTATTCATGACATTTCCTAGAAGCCAGGAAGTTAGAAAAACATGTGCTCTCTATCCCCTGGTCTGAATAAGTAAACACATTGTGGAAAGAAGACAGCAACAATCAGGAAGATTAAAACTAAAATCTATAGAAAAATAGTTTTTTACTAAATAAGAGCTCTGAACCCCAGCAAAGTCAGACGCCGTGCTGATTAGAGACAAGATGTTTAGAGCCAGAGCCAAGTTGGTCTGATTCGACCTCACAAGCAGAACCAAAAGCATTAACATGTGTGGTGGCTGAGCCATTGCAAAGTCAGCATGCCTCACATCATAAGCCAAAAGCCAAAAACGACAGCTCTGTGCCCAATCCAACAGTGCTCTGGAAAGAATGTACTTACAGAGACAGGAAAGAATTCTGAGTATCTTTCCTTTGAGAGTTGTTTTTTCTCTTTCTCTTTATTTAATCAGTAATTCCTTGATTTTTGTCAAAATTAAAGATTCCACTCCAACTAAAACATCAACAAGCACACTAACAAAGATGAGAATCAAGTTCAACACCATCCAGGACATTCAACACACACATTCTTCACACACCGCAACCTCACCTGGAGTAATTCTGCTGCTGAGCCTTTGTCCATCCTAAACTCAGAGACAGGAACAACGAGAGACCCCAGAAGCAGCCGACATTCATCATGATGCAGCGTGCACACAAAGTAAAGCAGCGTGCTGCAGGACAGGGAGATGGTAGCAGGAGGCAAGAGGTGAAAGACAGGGGGTACTGGTCGGAGGAGTTGCTTACGTGAATTGGGCGGAGAGAGAGAGAGGGAATGAGTGGGGAGGAATCTTAAGGGTGGGGGAGTTGGAGAGGGGATAAGGAGACAGACAGTGAGAGGACAACAGTGGTGAGACAGAGCCATGAGGGGGGGGATTACGTGTGTGAGGAGGGAGGTAGGGAGGGAGAAGGCTTTAATTAGAACCAGATGTTTCTGGAGAATAACCCTGGTTTCAATATAACAGAGGGGGCATGGAGAAAAGAAGAGCTGAGGGGAGTTAATGAAGCAGCCAGAAATCTTAATGTACCACAACAGCACCTGAGACCTGTGATTGACTGAAGGAAATAAAGTTTCGACCTTATTTACTTTTTTTTCATCTACTTTCAAACAAAAACATCCAGGATCCAAAAGGACGTGTAGACAATGAAGTATCATAAAACTAATGACGGCTTTCCTCCCACCGTGTTTCCCTAAGCCCCAGGGGCTCCTTTGGCTCCATAACATTTGAGTCAGAGAGCGTATTTTTATGTCCCACAATCCAAGCAAGAATAACAATCTCAAGGGGAGAGTTTTCTTTCTCTGTTAAGAGTCATGGATGAGCCAACTCTCTGGCCTACATTACTGAGGCCTCTTCGGAGGGAATACTGTTCCATGAAAGAAGTCACTTTCACAGACGGCCGAGCTGCAACACCTTGATCACAGTCTGGAGCAAGCAGGATGTGCAGCCCATAAAAGCTCAAAGCAAAGAGATTGTATAGGTGCATGCCTTCCACTCTTCTCAACTGAGAGAGTGAAGTTGGTGAGGCTCGAGGACTTTGACAGTTTTGGTGCTCATGCAGAGCTGGAGAAGCTGCCCGGTCCTGCTGTTCTGTGTTTGAGTTAAGTCCTGATAAGAAGCAGCAGAAGCAGGAATGCAACATGCACAGGCTGCTGCTGGGGTGGTTGTGGGGCGGGGGGGGGGGTCGGACAGTGTCTGAGTGACTGCGCAACCACTGCCATTATGTGTGGGAGTAACAGTGACCTTTACACTTCGCGGGAATCCAAGCCGAGGGTGTAGGTTTCTGCAATAACTCTGGATGATTCCTTCAAGCATTCCTTTTCCGAAGAGCAGCGGGGGGAGAATGTGACTGGTGAGAGGGGGTAGATAAAGGAGGGTTTGAATGATGGAGAAACATGGAAAACAAACTCACACAAACACACAAGACCCTGCAGTGATATCCCCTGAAGCCAACACGTGGCTCTAGTATTACTCCATACAAAGCTGCTTATTACTCTCCTGTGAAAGCATGTCTTTAATTTACAACTTCATTCAACGTGACGGGGGAAACAGAGGATTACAAACTGATTTCATAACTGTAGATCTGTTCTCTATCTTCGTGGCTCCTCTCAGATCCACTATCCAGTTGTCGGTCTTCCAGTTACGCAGTACAGCGGCCAAATTTCACATGACCTCAGCAATAAATAGAAACACACACTTAAGTGATAAAGATTTAATTAGAAATGATGGTATCCTGCTTTATAAAAAGAGTCCAGAGGGAACTGGTTAAAGCTTCAAACTTTAAATATGACACATCACATCAGTCGTCTGCTCCCCTCAGGTTTGAAGAGGAATGTAAGTGAGGCACAGCAGCTTTTTCCTGGATACACTTCATTGTGCATTTTGTGGGAAAAAGTAATTTCGTGAAATGCAGGGTATGCTAAATAGATCACAGCAGCTCATTTGGCATGACCAGGATTAAAGTGAATCTTACAGCAAGGACCATAAAACAAACTGTGGACGCATGTGTTTGTCTAAAAGTTTAAATGAAGTGTACAGTTTCACTTCCGATGGCAAATACTCAGCAGACACATCATCATTTGCCACATCATCCTCAAGTCTGAGGAGCGCAATGACAATATGATATCTTAAAAATAGTTTGTTCCTCAGTGGAAACCAGAACAAATGCTCTCAAGCAACAGATACAAATATGATGAGTATCTTCAAAAATGAAAAGCACAGAGGAAATAAAAACAACCGTATGCTCTTTAATGTCTGTGTTGACTCTAAGTTTGACAAACAATTTGAGATAAGAGAAAATGAATTGTACTTTTTGCTGCGGCAACTTGCAAATACATATGAATAGCCATAATTAACAGTTTGTGAGAACTTCCCCACTATTGCTGTATGCAGGTTTATATATATATATATATATATATATATACAACCTAATGTCAAGTTGTTGTTTTTAGCAGTTTCATGTTTCACTTCCTGTTTTATTTTGTAGTACTTCTGCTCTTTCCTCATTACTGATATATTCTGCAGAGGATTGAAGAAGAAAAAACAGGAAATGGATTCTCCTCTGAACAATAGGAGATTATTTAATTCAACGTTTCACACACACTATTTCAATCCTACACCACAGACTTGGTTCTGCATAATTAATACATTTTTATTTATTTGTTGTTTGTGCTCATGGTGAAATGTTTATGCATCTGAAAATCGATCAGGCCTTTTTGATGTGGATTTGTATTAAAGTGTACCTGGTTATATGCAGTGAAGATAAGTGACGTCCACTGACAGTAACATGAAGAGGTCCTTGGTCTGTGATCCACATTGGACTCTGTGGTTGTGATGCTGACACCTGATGGTGAAGACGTGAAACTACATCTTGGACAGTGTTGCTGCTGTCATGGCGGTGATCTCACTTCATTTAACATATACTCTTATATTTACACCTGAATAAATGTGTGAAACAAACAGACACTGTGGAGTTTTAGTGTTAACAACTTAATTGGCTTGATTCTGTAAACCTGCACGGTAGTTTGGACACATGCTTTGATTTGAACTTAGTAGATACTGTCAGTCAGTCAATGGTGCAGAGGCCTCAGAAAGTATGACCTTTGGATGGTTGTATGAAGGTAATATGAAATGTATGTGTTGGGAACTACAGATAATATAAAAGAACAACCAGATAAACATGTCAGTCGTGAGGTTTTGGTTAGGAGGAAAATAAAAGTCAGCGGAAGTGACTATCAAAGTGGCTTCATTTTACAATATACTGTAAACGTTGGTCTTAAAGCTTTTGTTTGCCACTACCTCTCAGCTGCAGACTGCAGCTAGTATCTATGATTGGACTAAAAGCACATTCTGTGACACAAATTACATTTTTTGTCTTTATAAATGACTTTATTTTAATAAATAATACCAGTACTGGTGTCCCTAAAGTGTTCTACCTGTATACTATGAATAGTATACTGTTATATAGTATATGACAGTGAATTTACACCCATTCATATATATGTAGCACATACCATTTTTATGCTCATAATCATATACCTGCCTATACTTACAGTCGATGCGTATATTTTTATATGTCTATTTCAATATCTCATATGTAATACACTAATACAGTAGGCTATATATGCAGTAATCTTACGTCACTGCACTTTACCCAAGTACATTTGTCTGCAAATAATATTTATGTCTGTTCTAAAAGGTGTATATTATGCAATTATCTCTATATTTTTATCTAATTTTAATTTAAAAAATTATATATTGTCGACATTTATGACTTTTCCCCACAGGTGATCCTTCAGTGTCACAGAATCTGTCCGCTTACTAATTTTCATCTAGCACTATTTCTGTTAAAACCCATCAAAAACAGTATGTGTGCAAAGTATTATTAAATAACACATGCAGTGACAATATAGCAAACATTTCTAATCAATAAGCGTCTTTGAGAGCTTTGAAAAGCGCTATATAAATCTGATGCATTATTGTTATTATATTATTAATCATGATAGAGTTGATAGCCGCTGGGCCTTTAATGCTAGTGTGTAAATCTAAGGATCCATATGTAGATGACACACAGACATTAAAATGTGGTACATTTGTGGTTTTGTTGTGGCTTTTGTAGTGTAGTGTTTTTTACCATCTGCTCGTGTGAGACGTCTCGACTTCAGTAGCTTTAGGTCTCCATGTATTTTTCAAACACACTAACGTGATCAGATGAATTCAGGAGAAAGGTTTACCTTTGTGTTGGTAGTAAATTTATGCTTATTCATACAGGTCAGATAAGGTCCCAGAATTGCAGTCAAAATTGCATCTGCCCATTGTTGCACACCCACAAAGTACATGAAGCACACACAAAAGTACAAGTTGTCATAGATACTGTTTTTCCAATATACATATATTTCATGATGTTCATCAATATAATAAGACATTGATAGATTTACACTACAATTATTTTATGTACTTTAATTTTTCATTCAGTCTCCTCTCCTTTGCGTTGAGTCAACCTTGTGTAGTTTCTAATCCCATACCAAATGACGGCACAATAAATCTATCAATAAATAAAAGCCAAGGTAAAAGAAAGAAAAGAAAACTGAGCACATTGCCCGTGATCCTCCGGTCCTGTCCCTCCTGTAAGGCCAGATGACCAGGGGCAATATGAACCTTCATCCCAGGAGCCCCAAAGAGAAATCAAAATCTTTCCTCAAAAATAAACAGATTTCAACAAAAAATATATCTTGTAGATACAAAGAGCAATCTGATGTAACTGTAGAATCATTCTGGACAATTGAAGGTAAAAATACTTTTTTTTCTCCCCCATTAACTTCCCATTTTCTTTACCTTTACCCATCAGTGCTTACACACAAACAATTCAGTGACATCTGGAGTTATTACTAAATTGATGCAAAAGAAAAACAACAACACAATATTTGGTTCAAAATAAAACATGTTGACATATGTGAAGTTAAATATTGTGTTTATAGCCATCCAGTGAACGTTCATTGACTCATAAGGGTCCCTCCTCTTTGCTGCGCTCATCCCGTTTGGTGGTGACGGCAAGCGTCAGGGATCAATCCCCTACTTTGTACATATCACCTGTTGAAGTGTTGGATGTTGTGTTTGTCTCTTTCTCTTTGCGTGGTTCCTTCCAATTTTGAATCACAAGCTCATCCATTGTGATTCAAACCTGGAAGAGGGTCTGAACACCCCCCCCCCCCCCCCCCCCAGTTGTGTCAGCAACTTTGCATCACCACCAAATGACCTGAACGCAGCTTTTTGTTGAGATCTCTGAACAATTCTCTAGGTTAACCCTTCAGACAATATTCTCCATCGACTCGTGTTCTCCAATCAATCAACGAATCACAACGGGGAAAAAGTGCCACGGTGGTAAAACATGTGTGCACTTTTTCTCATACAGACAATAGAGCAACAGAAGAAAAAGAGAGCACTCGCTTCATTTTCACCATCGTGACCAAATTGGTTGAGCACTCACAGGACAACAGTTGGATTCATGGATAACACAGAAGTCCTACCCCAATCAGTTAGTGTTATTTCAGTTCACCATGGCTCACTCCTGCAGCATGGCTAAAAGGACCACCTTTATGAAAGGATTTTCTATTGCCAAAAAAATCAAATTTTATACTTTGCTTATATAGTTTTTGTCCTCATATATATTTTGGTAAATTGCTAATACCTTCAACCTGAGGATATAGGACCCCCTACCCCCCAAAACACCCCCATATTACAACACCAAACAATGCAGGTTTTTTACATTTTTTCTTAAATTATGTCTATAGCTGTAGTTTGTTTACATGTTTTTTTCATTTTAAAACTCGGCAGCACTATGGAGACAGAAAAAAATAAGAGTTGTGCTATTATTAGTTATAGGATCATGTGTCTGGCAGATCTGTCTGGCAGATCTGGGGAGACTGTGGTCGAGATTTGAAGCATGCGGTCCTTATGTTTTGGTCTAACTTGCATAATGGCACACTCCCAAGCCAACTGACACACTAAATAAATAGCGTGCAATACTTAAAAGCTCCTGTAATCATGGATAGATTCGATAAGGGTGTGAGCTATTTAAAAACAGACCATGATCGTTTGAATAACCTGTTTCTCTCTGCTTGTTTTTGATGGCAGTTGGCAGCGTAAGCGTGGAAATCTGGTCTTTGGTAATCTTCTGCAGTTTACTCTTGCTCTGTTTAGAGGAAAACATGTAGGGGGAAGCAGGAAGTAGGGAGGAAGAGTGGGTTCATCGAGGTCGGGGTCTCTCCTAATAGAACTGGCTGGCAGATCTGTAACCTCTCTGCTTGTGTAATTCAAGGTGGTCAAGGAAACAACGTGCTCCTCACGCCCAGATTTAAGTGGCCTAATCTGTCGGGATAAACCAGGGATATTCCCAAGACAGAGCTATTCTAACACACACACACACACACACCCACACACACACTATAGGATTCTGTATCAGCGAGTTGAGCAAAGGGGGACGGGTTGGTCCACTCAGCTCAGGGGAGAAGATTAAAAAGTTATGGGAAGGAGGGAGGAGGCTACTAAGGCTTTACCCACACTTGATTTGGAGTATTGCAGGTGAAATTGCGGTCTCTGAAGCCTTCAGGTGATGGTAGCCTATTCAAAGTTCTGCTGAATTTATATCCTGTTTTCAAAAAAAACCCCGATTTGATTAAATAACTGAATTACAGCTATTTCCAAGTACAGCAAAACCCCTGCAAGTCAATCGGTAAATTGGTTCTAATCCCTGTAGGCATACCTTTGAGGTTTGTCTTCTCGTCCGAGGCCTTGACAGACCATTAAAAAACCAAGTGCATCACACAGCCTTGCTCTCCTGCTCACAAAGTAGCCAAAAGGGTACAGGAGAGGACGCCAACAACAAAAAAAAGGTAGAAGAATAAGTCAAGACCAAACCAGCGAGAGCACCGATGAAAGAAATAACAATAGAAGCCTCTCCCTTGTTGTTTGGCAGTGTATAACGCATGGAGCTGAATTACAAAAAACACACCAGACAGAGGTGAAGAGGAGTTCACTGCTGTGGGCAGCAACACGGTGCTGATCGCACACTTCCTCTTTACCTGTCTGTATCACACAAAAATATACTATAATAAAAAATATAATCTATTGTATTTAAAAAAGAAAAAGGCCTTAACTAGAGGGAGAAACACTGAGACAGAACCGCTGCACTAGCAAAACACTCTTCTTAGGAATGCTACTTTTCTAAAGAATTGCTTCTCACGTTTCCGGGCACTAACTTACCCCAAAGTTAGCAAACCGCTGAAACTCAAACTCAACTGATAATTTGACTTTTTTTCCTCATTTAGCCTCTGTCCCTGGATTTGCAAATAAGGCTGTGTCTCTCTTTTGTTTGTTTTTAAATGTGCTCTTTAAGGTTTTGCTGCAGGAGGATCTGCTTTGGCCAGGCTATTGACCAGCCAGACAGCGCCATCAAAAACAAGGTTGCATTTGTGCATTTTAATCAGATTCCTTTTTTTTTCTGCCGTCAGCCACTCCCTAACACAAACTGAAAGTGTGAGGGTGTGTCTGACCGGGAATATTCCACAGTAACTAACAGAAGTGACTGGAGTCTAAGGCTTTTCAGTGTCGACATAGGCCAGTGAGAATTAACCTGTGTTTTATGAAACTTAATCAACTTATGTCAATTTATGCAATGGCCCCATTTTATCCCCTGGCATTAGAATAGTTTTGTAAGCACATATCCACCTTCTGACATGAATGACATCTCCACAGTATACTGCAAGTGCAATGTTAAGATAACATCACCGATATTAGAAAAAAACAATAATCATTTGGACAGACTGAAAGTCTAATCCTGTCTATCCATAACTAACCCTTACAGCTATTAACTATAACATTTTTTTCTCCTATGGTTTGTATGACCAACGTTTTCGACACAAGTTTCATCGCATGTATTTTTTTTAAGATACTTACACTTACATGTGCTACAGTAAGAGCATTTGCACTAGACTGCAATGAAGGAATGTTTTCGAAATAAGACACTACGTAATATTGAAATAAAAAACAAACATCTACAGACATTGGTCCATCTGTACTATGGCAGTTTTGAAATTATTAGAGGAAATCGAGGTGTTCAAGCATGCTGGGAGACAGAAGAGCTGCGGCTGTGACTTGTGATGAAAGTTATTACAGATGTTGCTAAAGAAAAGTGTAAAAAGAAATGAAAAGAATGAAAGAACCAGGAATTATGATTAGTGGGGATTAGGTTTAACGATTCATGCATTATTTCTGTGGTTGATCAATATCATTGAGCATTAACTCTCTGATATAAGCCACAAAAGAAGCTAAGACTTGGATTTCCAAAGGCATCAAGTTACAGAAATCTGCAGCTTTTAAGCTGAAGCTTTTAAGGGCAGTTTTGGAGCTCACATTTCTGTAACTTCATAGTTTTTAGTCCTCTGGCTCATTTTGAACTGTCTTCGTGGACATGCCTAACACAGATGAATGTGAAAATGAATGTTTGTATTTCATTAAAAGGAGACTTACTCCACTGTGCAAAAATACACCAAAGAGAGAAAGAGAAGAAGAAGCCGGGTGAAAGACAGATGATGAGAACATGCAAGATGCACACTTTGATTAATAGGCAGTAGTTAACGCTGAAGCATACATAAAATTAATACAAAAAATTAAAAAATACAAAATGCACACACACATACGCACACACACCTACAAAACAGTATATATCAGAATAAAACTCTACAAAGAACTATATATATCAGTTATGTAACAATTATCGCCAATCGTTGTTTCCTTTTCTGTTGCATCGTCACAAGTGTTTGGTTCTCGGTATGGCAGGTTAGAAAAGCCAAGAGGACCCAGAAAGGAGACAGGGCCACACACTCACAAGGACAAATATTGACAGGGGGCCAGAGGGGGAGATGGTGGACGTGGGGGAGCCATGGGGCCCTGAAGGGTTTAGGGGTGTTATATCGAGGCTAATCGGGGAGAGATACATATATATATAGTAAATTAATTATCTGTGGTTAGATTTTTCATCAATTTGAGGGTTTTCTCTTTTTTTTTGAAGCAAGGAAGTTGGGATCAGACTGGGGTAGGACCGACTCTTCTTAGGTGCTGAAGTACACTGCAGAAAGAGAGAGAGGAAACACGATCAAGTCCATTCATTATGTGGAGAGTAATGCATCAGCATAAAAATGCAATCAACCAAGATTTCCTAATAACATTCAATTCAAAATGTTTGTTAGTTTTGCTTTCAAATAAAATATTTTTCGCATTTAGGGTTAAGTCCTAAATGATTGTGTACTGTGTATATGTGTACACGATCTAAAAGCTATTTTGATATAATTCCATCACATTAACAATGATTCATTTACACACCCACAAATGTTGAAGAAAATTCTTACCAATAATGACGATGAGGACAATCACGCATATCACACCCAGGATAATCATCATCTGTAGACAGTGGAGTTTCAAAACAAGTTGTTAGACAAGCAGTTTTCCATTTTTTAAAGCTACTTAAACACTGGTACATTTCTTTAAATCAAATGTCGTTGTTTCATACAAGTGCACAACAATTATGCTTATGCCCTGTAATGGTTGTTTTGTACATCACCTTATAACTTTGGTTTTGAAAGGTGCTTAATCCATAAAATTTTATAACTTACTTACCTGCTTATGAGAAAATCAGAAATCAACAGTTGAGACTTGTCACACATTTAAGACGTCAGTGGGACAATCTATATCAGCCTTCACACATTCACTTATTTGTTATTTGAGAAACGATGTCTGCATGTCCTCACCTTGGCATTCTTCCACCAGTATTTATTCTTCAGTTTTGCAGCGCTAGTCTCAAACTGAGACGCTCCAGCCTGCAGGGCATCGGCCCTGTCGTCCAGTTCTGACAGCTTCTGATCACGCTCCAGAACCTTGTCCACGTTTACACGCATGATATCCACCACCTGGGGGAAGAGAACCCACAATCAGCTATCAGGAAAGGATGACTCTATGAGAGGGTCTGACAGGATGGAGAGGGACTATAGGATATAGGTACTGATTCAAGTTGATCAAGTTTCCTATCCAACCACAGTATAAAGTAAGTATTTTTACTGAAATGACCATTAATTTTTACGTTTTTGCTCCTTTTTACCAGCGAGAATTGTCTGACGTGACTTTGTAAAGGACTCACCTCATCCACTTGTGCCTGTGTCTGCTGGAGACGGCGGTTGCTGGTGAGGTTGGGAGGGCCCTGACTCCCTCCCTCTGCAGGGGCTCCAGCGGCTGGGGCAGACCTATAAATAATAAAAAATCCAAATATTAAGTAAAGGCTAAAGGCTGTTGAAAACATTGTTTGAATAGCAGATAAAAAGAAAGAGTGTAAGAATTATTAGTTAACCTGGAAGGCAGAGTAAACAGCTCAAATGTGGGAATACGGATCAAGTAGTTCAGATTTACTTATTTACAATGGTCGCTGAGGATCTTTCCAGCTTCTCCTTTGTGGCAGATATTATATAACTGATATACAGAATGTACGTAAGTAAGAGTTTCAGGAGATGTAGAATTTAAAGGGTCACATATTATCTGAGGGATTATTTGTCATTTTTTCTGTTGTTAGTTTTGGGTTTTTGTATGAACTGAAGAGCTGATAGTTACAGGATAATGTACACAGTGATGGAGATGAAAGAGAGGACAAGTGCACACATTTAAAAATGCATATTAAGATTCAAGTCAGATTTTATATGTATGATTTGTGAAATCTACTGTGCTGACAAAAAATGAACATTCCGGTATATTAGCACCAGAGAGTCAAAATAGTTAATCTGCTATCGCTAAGAAACTGCTCGGTTTTTGCAAGTGGAGTTGATTTGTCATGTCATGTTGTATTGTGTTCTCAATTGAGAGTCTAAGTGAAAGTGTCATTTACCACTGAAAAGTAAAAGCTAGGTGAAAATGCATTTCATGACCTCTGCTATTTGCAGCATGTGCAACAAATACATCAGTAATATAAAAAAAATAAAGTATCCATTCACTTGGATGTTTTAGTCTAGGACCAGAAGTAGTACAACATTCACTTTGTGGAGTTTTTCATTATTTTTGGGAAAAACGTAGTTGGTTTAGTTGCCTTAAAAAATGCAGGTTAATCTAAAGTGAATATTTAACCCGACACGTCATAAATACAAAGCAGAATGGACAATAGGTACAACCACACCAAGAAAACACAAGAACAGATTGATTGATATTTATTGTGGCCATGAAAACAAGCTAGAATCAAATTTGGTGAAAGATATGATTACGCAGTTGTGCTTATATGAGTCTATACCCTCAATGCTAACATCTATTAATAGAGTCTTAACATCTGATCTTAAATGTTCTGTGACATGATGTTTGCTCAGAACTCTTGATTCAGCATGTTTTATTGATATCCACCAGTCCAAATGAATCAATGCAATTTAAAAACGTGATTGTCTGCTTTGACTCTGGGATCACAGGCTCTAGTACGTTGTGACAAACGTCCCTACTGAACTAGTGTGAGACATAACTGTGTATAAAGGTCACCTTTACACGCTCACGTACTAATCCTCTAACAACAACAAATCCTTCTGAATAGTTGGCTTAATGGTGCTGGTGGTCTCTATCCGCTGCCAACCAGCCCAAACACAAACTGCCACTGTATAAACACTATATCTTCACAGTGTGAATAGTGAGTTAATATTATGTCTT